TGATGTGCCTCGCCTCTCAAAGATGTTAATGTCCTAACACAGAAATATTTTCCCTTTACATGGCCCATGCCAGAACTAAAGTAATGCTTTATTCAATTATTGCTTGTGTATCTTATCTTCCCCTGCTGGCTCGCCCGCTGAACACTGCTGTCGTGCCAAAATAGCTGAAGACTAACCAGCAAGAAACAGACACCTCAGACGCCCCTACCCCCCCCCACCTACACACTGGGTACGGGCTATACTTTAGCTGAAAGCAATTGTGGGGTGCTATGACGTGGAGCTACATGAACGTTAGCTAGCAGCTTACCTGCTCAACTATACCACATGAGACTCGAAACAACCTAGTCCTAAACCACACTTCGCGTGTTGTCCAGCTGAGTTCAGATTGAAATTACGTCTTTATAGTACTGTACACATGCAGCATTATTCTGTGAACCTCAACTGACAAAAAAGGGGGCGAAACGGGGACTTAAATCATGTGATCGACCCCACCTCTTTTCATGTATCACGGTCGATACCCTGAGTGGCTTCTGTCTGCTCCCTGAGTATTGTTATTATGTATCTGCTGTAATACAGTAATTGGCTATCCATATTAAGATGCAGTCTTTTTAACTTATAATAGTTGTGGGTGGAGATCGCATTCTTCAAGAGTGTCTATGAAGACATTGGAAATTGCAGGTAAGTGTGTAACCCTTACATGAATGTGTTCACAGTAGGTTTTTGTACAGCGTTCCATGACGATTACATGTTTCCATGACGACCGCATTTTGTTTGAAAAAGCCTCTGGCAATTCTCTTTAAAACTACTTCTTCACCACATACTCCTCAAACTTGCTAACTGTATGACGCATGGAGGCGAAAATCGGTGCGCATGTGTATTGCATCGTTTCCATGACGACCACAACAACAAATAGCCTCAGGCACTTATTACTTCTTCACTCCTCAAACTCGCTAACGGTATACACACATGCAGATGAACTTGTACACGCATGTGTGAACATCGTTTCTTCCATGACGACCAACAACCACAAATAGCTGAGGCACTTTCTTAAAATTACCTTCTTTACTCATCAAACTCGCTAACTATAGCACACATGGAGATGAAACTTGGTGCGCATGTGTATATATAACATCGTTTCTATGACAACCACAACAACAAATATCCTCAGGCACTTTTCTTTAAAATTACTTCTTCACTCCTCAAACTTGCTAACGGCAGCACATAATTATGTGGTGAATGCATATCATTTCCATGACGACAACAGGCCTTTATTCTCTATTATTAATTTTTATTGGGGCTTGCCCCTCCACATAATACCTAGTTGTATATTAAAATGAGTGGAGACAAGTAAATTATCCTCCAAATTTCAATAAGAGCCATATAGGGATGGTATGATAGGGATGTGATACATGAAGCATGGTTAATGAACAGATTTGAGTACGCTGACACCCCCAACCCCATCACACAATCCCTATATTGTTGCCTAGGTGAAGTATTAAACATTCGCCATTACAATACTCAGAACTTACAATACACTACTGAGTAACCAACACCCTTATAGAGCCCAATTGGAAGGAATGTGGCAGTATAAATGTTACTAAAAACAACGGGGAGATGGTGAAGGAATGCTTGCTTTTTAGTAACCTTTAGCCCCTATAAGAGTAGCACACAAGGCAGCAATATAGGGATTGTGTGATGGGGTTGGGGGTGTCAGCGTACTCAAATATGTTCATTAACCATGCTTGTAGTAGAAGCACAATGGAATAGCATAGCATCTCTAAGCCAAAACCATGTTTCCCCAGTAACCAGTTAAAGAAATGTCGTCGCTAAGGTCTCTCCAAACTATATTTTAGAATTTTAGTTGATGACACATCGATGTTGTTAAAAAGGCGTAGTTTGTGTGCTATTTCACACTGCCTTAGCTCTCGATGCGCGATCTAGCCAGCCAGAGAACTCTTGTCCATTCGACGGCATTTGCTGCACTCTTTGCTGCCTAACAGAGGCTGGACTTCTTTCGTGGTTCAAGGGTCCAAGTTCTTAATAGGCTAGGTTTGTGCAGATACGGTCATTGTGCTCGCTCCCACTCGCCAAAAATGCCCTGCATGTGAAGTGTTTCGTCTGTACTGCCCGCTTTGTGCAAGGGGTCCGATGGCACCTCGGCGACATAGGCGTAGTAAAATTCAGGCCATTTTTTGTGCCACCCCTCAAAACCAATACCAGTCTGTAGCATAGGCTATGTTTGTGTTAATGGCTTTTACACGTAGGTACGAGTAGTGGAATGTGTCCATCTTTCGCAGAGGATCCTGACATACATACACGTGGTGAGCAAACATGTCTTCCAGGGTGCTGTCAGTCAGCGTGAATATGAAGTGCAGGGACATAGAAGAGCCTGTTACAGGCCTGCAAACTCAATCCCTATATTGTTGCCTGGTGTGCCACTCCATTTGTTACTCAGTACTGACTTTTTCATTTCATGCTAGACTATTGCGCAATGTTGTCACCTAGGCAACAATATAGGGATTGTGTGATTTGGGTTGGGGGTGTCAGCGTGCTCAAATCTGTTCATTAACCATGCTTCATGTATCCCATCCCTATCTTGTCTCCCTTTCTTTTTATACCATCCCTTATGCCTCTTTTTTTAAATAAGCAGGATTTACTTCTCTCCACTTATTTTTTTATATGCTACACGTATATATAATATCTGTGAAAAGGGGCAACCCCCTATAAAAAATTAATAATAGTGAAAAATGCCTGTTGTCGTCATGGAAGTGATGTAATACACATGCGTACAAAGTTTCACCTCCTTGTGTACTGCCGATAGCAAGTTTGAGGAGTGAAGAAGTAAATGGCTGAGGCTATTTTGTTGATGTTCAAATAATGTGTGGGTGTCATGCTATGTCATACACATTCTGACCTAGTTTCATCTCCACGAGTGCTACCATTAGCAAGTTTGTGGAGTGAAAAAGTAGTTTTAAAGAAAAGTGCCTGAGGCTATTTGTTGTTGTGGTCGTCATGGAAACGATGTAATACACATGCGCACCAAATTTCATCGCCATGCCCGCTACAGTTAGCGAGTTTGAGGAGTGAAGAAGTAGTTTTAAAGAGAATTGCCTGAGGCTTTTTCAAACAAAATGCGGTCGTCATGGAAGCATGTAATCGTCATGGAAATGATATAATAGGCATACTTACCAAGTTTCATCTCTATGTGAGCTACCATTGGAGAGTTTGAGGAGTGAAGAAGTTAATTTAAAGAAAAGTGCCTGAGGCTATTTCTTGTTGTTTACAAAAATGTATTGTTGTAATTTTGATGTTGGTGATTGAATACATTATGTCTACAAAGTTCCGTTCACATAGCTCCTACCATTTGTGAGTTTTACTGACACATATGATCCCTTTATAATGTATTGCCTGGGGCTATTTGTTGTTGTTTACAAAGAAATAAGTATGACCAGTCTCTTCGGGTGACGGATATCTACATTCTTACAAATTTTCATTACTATATGTTGTTTCGTTTTTGAGTTATGGGTGTTGAATCTGAAGAAGAAGGAGAAGGAGAAGAAGAAGATGAACAAAACTCCCTATCATAGCTCCATACATCTATGATGTTAGGTACCATGCCCATCCCTATATACTAGGTACTACCGTACTTAGTGGTAATGCTAGGTACCATGCTCATCCCTATAATATAGGTTAGATGCTGAGTCCAGGAAACTACGCGAATTAGATAGCTGCGGGGGCCCTGAGCTGTCGATGTTCGAGCGCAGCGAGGACACTACTAAAGGGCCCCCAAGGCGCTCTAATGCGCGTAGTTTCCATGACGAGGCGTCTACCCGGTTTAGAGCTATTGTAACGCGTTCATTCAAACCAAACGCGCGTTGGAGAAATGGCGACAGGCTTCGATATTTTCGGAGCGACTATCCGCGACTGGCTTGAAGAACCAGACAACGATGAGGCTGAGCCTGTGCCTCTTCTCCTAGCAGCGAGTGACGACTACACACACAAGTCCCCGTCCAACGGCCAAGTTGCCGGCCACTCCCACTCCTGCTTTGCTCCTACAAAGAGCGATGGCAACGCATGGCTAAACGCGTGTTGGAGAAATGGCGACAGGCTTCGATATCTTCGGAGAGACGTGAGCTGCTCTTGCCACTTTCAACTTCAGAGAGTGGTTAGTCTGATCTCAGCAAACTAAAACGGTGAAGCACGCGTGCACAAACACGAGAATTAGAGTCCGGCTGACCGGACTCTGCGCGAATTAGTGTCCGCTCACCAACCAATCAGATTGCGCAATTTAAACTACTTAGCTCTAAATCTGAATAAGAAGAAGGCGAAGAAGAAGAAGAAGGGATCGTAGGGATGGGATACATGAAGCATGGTGAATGACAGCGTGCTGAACAGATTTCAGCACGCTGACACCACCAACCCCATCGCACAATAAGAAGAAGAAGGAGAAGGAGAAGAAGAAGATGAACAAAACTCCCTATCATAGCCCCATACATCTATAATGCTAGGTACCATGCTCATCTCTATAATTATCACTAAGTACGGTAGTACTAACAAGTATATTTAAAGTATATTTTTTAAAATCCTGCGAATTTAAAAAGAGGCATATAGGTATCGTATAAAAAGAAAGGGAGACAAGGTAGGGATGGGATACATGAAGCATGGTGAATGACAGATTTCATCACACATTGTTGCCTTGTGTCAAAAAGTAAGCATTCTTTCACTGTCCCCGTTGTTTTTGGCAACATTTCTACTTCATATACTGCCGCAGTCCCTTTAATTAAACTCCACTTGGACTCCATAATGGTGTTGGTTACTCAGTAGCATGACTTTTTGAGAACTGTAATAGTGAATGTTTAATACTTCACCTAGGCAACAATATAGGGATTGTGTGATGGGGTTGGGGGTGTCAGCGTGCTGAAATCTGTTCATTAACCATGCTTCGTGTATCCCATCCCTATCTTGTCTCCCTTCCTTTCTGTACGATCCCTATATGCCTCTTTTTAAATTCGCAGGATTTTTAATTTACTTGTCTCCACTCATTTTTATATAGTACTACGTATTATCTCTGTAAAATGGGGCAAGCCCCTATGAAAATTAGTAATAGAGAAAATACCCTGTTGTCGTATGGGTACCAAGTTTCATCTCCATGTGTGCTGCCGTTAGCAAGTTTTTGAAGAAAAATGCCTCAGGCTATTTGTTGTTTTGGTCATCATGGAAACAATGTAATATACATGAGCACCAAGTTTCACCTCCATGCGTGCTACAGTTAGCAAGTTTGAGGAGTGAAGAAGTAGTTTTAAAGAAAATTGCCTGAGGCTTTGTCAAACAATATTCTTTCTGTTCAATGAAAAGCACTAAAATGCAAAACCCTCGGCGAACTGCGCATGCGCGATACCGCTAATGGATGGACTGGGCTATTTGCGTTTATTCGCGGTCTCCCGCTAGTAGCTCGCGGAGAGTCTGACACGGGCTAGCTACGGTAGTAGATAGCATGCGGGAGTCGATACACACCCTTCACTGTGGCTTCATGTGCCTCCAAGGTACACAGAGCAAGCGGATCAGGTCGAGGTGAGCCAGCATACTGCGTCGATCGCGTCTAATACACGCATGCGCACCGCTTATTGATGGGTTGGGCCACGCAACGCTGTCCGCGACCCTGCCAGTTTGTCGCTCTC